TAAATCATAAAATAGGTAGGCAGATAAAAACACACTTTGGTGTACAAAAATGAACAGTGTTGGAAAAGGTGAAAACATTTGTTATATATTTTAATATCTAATAAATCTAGAAATAAAAAATAGTTTAAAGGACGTTAAAATTAAGATACAAAATCAAGAAAGCATGTACTTGAAAGAGATGAGTGATTCCACCGACCTGAGTTCCTCGAGCAGATCCATCCAGAACCTCATGACCAAAGAGACAAAAGACGTCTGCAGAAGGATCTCAAAGTGCATAGAGAGTATGTGAAACTGAACAAAATCTTAAAATCTGTCCTACAACATGCTGGGAGCCAGTTGAAGAGGCTGAATTGGGAGTGATTGTGTTTTTTGGTTCTGGGAGGTAGAAGGGCTGATGTATAATCCAGGCGTGATGAGATAAAGTGTTTAAAATGGACTCTGTGTCTTTAAAAGTTGAGATAAATCCAATTTCGAAATATTTTTAAGATGATAAAGGAATGATTTGACAAGGTTTGTGGCGCTCAAAACGTAGATTACATTCAAGCCAGAAGCCTCGATTTAAAGACCCACAAGGAAACCAACCTTTGCTACAACCAAACAACAAGAGTCTCAGTATTTCACCCCTTGTTCTCCTAAAACACTCCAATTGTCAACACCTTCTCTTCCCCCTGTTCCCCTCCTCTGCCTCCAGCCCCTCACCTCTCTGTCTCTGGCCGACTCCAGACTGAAGAGTGATCTGACCATCGTTCTGAACGCTCTCGGCAGCAACTCTTCGCTCACCAGACTGGACATCAGCGGGAACGCTATGGGGGACATGGGGGCCAAGATGCTGGCCAAAGCCCTGCAGATCAACTCCAAACTCAGGTACTGTGTGTTCAGGCTACTGCAGATACTGCTGTCATGTCAATTTGTAGTAAAGTGTATATTAACAATTCTGTGTTCTACTACCAGGACATGTGATATATTACCATAGTGTGTTTTACTGTATTCGGCATCCATTCATCATGTTGTGAGTTTATACATGAGCATTCCATGTTCAAGTGGTTAATGTATACATTAGTAGACACTTAAATCTGCTTCCACATTGTATTATAAACTATTTATTATATGATTATACTGTATATGGCTTCTACAAAACAGTTCTTATGAATGTCCTGATGGTAGATCAAAGAAATTATTGCATCACTTGATTTTAAAGACATTACATTTGAATATGACTGTTTCATTTTCACATCCAAAGCTTATGCTTAAGTTTGCCCAAGGATTTCTTAGCAGTAATGTCATTGTCATTTTAACCTGAAATCTGTGGAATCACAGAAGTGCCATAATAAAAATAAATATGTTAAAAAATAAGGAAATAAAGATGTAAATATAAAGATGAATAAATAAAACAATTAAAAATAAATAAATACATTAAAAAACTATGGAAATATGAAGGTACATTTTGTCTTTGCTTTTCCTTTTTCCCTTTGCTTTTTCCTTTTGCTTTTCTTTTTTGTTATTTTCTTTTCCTTTTGACTTTTTTTCTTTCTTTTGTCATTGCTTTCTCCATTTTGCCTTTGTTTTTACTTGATGCACTGAGCTGTCAATCAAAGAAGAAAAACAAATGGAAACAGGAAAAGCAAGGAAAATTTACCTTTATATTTCCATTTTTTTATATTCTTTTATTTATTCCTCTTTATATTTATACATTTATTTCCTTTTTTTTTTAACAGATTTATTTTCTCTTATGGCACTCCTGTGATTCCATAGAACCAATGCATGTATGTTTTTAAGAAAGTAGATGGTGATCAAAATGTTCTAACTTAATGACTTGTTGTGCTGGTTCTGTGCAGGACTGTGATCTGGGATAAGAACAACACCAGCCCTCAGGGTCTGCAGGATGTAGCAGCTGCTCTGGAGAAGTAAGTCCCTCTGTTCTGCATGTAAATACGAGCGTCTGTTGATCACTGCTGGTGTTTTACTGGATCCAGATGAGATGCTGCAAATCAGCGAATTTCACTGTTGATTCTAAAATATGAATGAAAATGACTGAAGCGATGGATGTGCGGTTAGCTGCTGCAGACGTCTTTTTGCTTTGTGCTGAGCAAGAGGAAACCTTGAGGTGTTCAAACAGGAAGGATAGAAGAAGAGAGGAAGGAAGGCGCAGAGGGGAAAGTGACAAAACAGGGAACACAACAAAGACACATGAGGAAATATGCTGAGGAAGGGAAAGGAAGAGCGCGCAAACAGATTAAGAGACTAAACAAATCAGATTTTTGTCTCCTGTATCTTCCTGCCGTAGATGTGAACGTTCAATTTTCTGTGCATGATTGTGTAGCGACATGTGAATCAAATGGAATTTGCTTCTGGGCCGCGACTGTACATCCACCCTGTTCCTCTCTCTCATCTTTTCTCTGAGTTTATCATATTCTCCCGGCAGCACATCTCCCCGTTTCCCCTCCTGAGTCTCTGTATTGCATTATTGAAGCTCCTTTTTTTTTCTTCCTCCTGATCTCCGTTCAGTTCAGCAGAGCAGCGTTGCGTGTTTTTGTTCCCTTAACTCAATTTCCTCATGTCTCTTGTGTTCTTCTTTAAAGATATTTTTCTGATGCAAAAGAATGTACATTTGCACATTTTCACGTAAACAGATAAAACACACAAAGTCTCCAATATTCAGCTGCACATAAACGCTATCTGAGAGTGCTGATGGTGGTTTGGAGGAACACAAAGAACTGGACTGTTCTCAGAGCAGATTTATCAGGTGAAGGCAGGAGGCAGAAAAGCAGACGGACTCCTACAGCAGCCAAATGTTTGTTACTGAAAGAAGCACAGTGTTTCTTACTCTAGCGCTTCATTGTCTGTTTGTCATGATGCTTGACACATATGGGTGACAATGAACTGGTTTGCCTTTGAGGTTTAAAGCAGCATCTCACTCTAACTCTCTTGACTTTATTTACTGCATGTCGCCTCAGATATCTGCTCCCTCATTTCCTGTCTCAATCTAATTAAGGGAAAGGGGGAAAAAAAGATCTACCAAAGAGTGATTGTGTACTGCTTGTTAAAGCTTTGTTTATGTTCCAAACAGGCATAAAACAATCATCTCATTGAAATTTTCCTTCTGCATTATGTCACCCCATTTGTTCTCAGTACTTTTTAACTGGTTTAAATGGCTTTCAAGGACCAGTTCCGCCCATGTAATGCATATTTTCATTTCCAATCCATCAAACTGACTTGATTTCATTTCTAAGAGTATATTTTAAACACCGTATTTTGGAGGATAATTGTTAGAGATCATTCCTTTATTATAAAACTAATCTGTAAATCAGTTACAGTCTAGTTTCCAAGTGTAAAGAAGCAAACCAAACATACAGCCTAAACAGCAGAGACGATACTGTAGTATTTTCTGTAATCATAAATGTTATGCTGTAATCTGCAAACGTTTCTTTAGTTGCAATGATTTGGTTGCAAGAAACAGAAATGTTGTGTATTTGCACATTGTGACTATTTGACCAGATAGAAGCAGGTATGAGCTGATGTAAACTGATCAAAACCGTGGGCTCCATTAATGATTTTTTTTGCACATGATCACATTATGACACCTGTTATTGGGAACCTAAACCTCTTCAGATGCATCATGTTGCTTAGTATTGATTAAAATACAGTGTTTTTCTCCTGTTTCTTTACATCTCTACACTTGTCTTTCCCCCTTTTCTCTGTAATGTGAACTAACTGTGGAATATTGTCCTCTGTGTGTCCATCAGGAACTTCACCATTCGGTTCATGCCCATCCCCATCATCGATGCCTCGCAGGCTCTGAAGGCGAGTCCTGAGAAAACAGAGGACGCCCTGCTGAAGGTAACCAAATCCTCCCATCTGTCAGTTTTAAATGGTCGTCCCCATGGTTTACTGTGACATCAGCTTTGTGTTTCCTCCCCAGATTGAGAATTATTTGTACAGGAACCACGAAACCAGAAAATACCTTCAGGAACAGGCCTATCGGCTGCAGCAGGGCATCGTGACCACAACCACACAGCAGGTGTGTACACAAACGGAGACAGACACACTGTTATCACTGACTGTGATCTGTTTGTTTTAAAATGAATAATTGTTCATTCAGTTGAATAGACGGTGAACTAGACAAAGCGTATGAACTGCACTGTTATCGTCTTTGAAAAGGTCAAGTGGGAGTTTGCTCTTGTTTTGGGAAAATATCATGTTTTCACAGATGTAGACTTTGTTCCATCTGTCCTTTCACTCAGTATGATGACGAGAGCATTTTGCTTTTCTTTTTCTGTTTTTCAGTTCATTGATATTCAGTTTCGACCAAACTATTTTTGTCATTGCCTCCTGAAATGTACAGCCACTAGAGTGATTATCTGGCTGGTTAATATTCAGTTAGTTTGCACAAAGTATCACATATAATCGAACAAACTAATACTAGCCGTTACCTGTTGTTAGATGCTAAATTTATGTTGGTCCTGAATTAATGCCACATCAGTCCTACCTCAGTCTATGTCCCCAGCGATACTAAATGGAGTCAGGAAACTATCTGCTGAGCCTTTGACATGCACAGACTGTGACGTCTTGTTGTTTTTGTCCTGCAGATGATTGACAGGATCTGTGTGAAGGTGCAGGATCACCTGAACTCTCTGAGGAACTCTGAGACAGACGTCATTGTGGAAGATGTCAGGTCAGCAGAGAACCTCATCAAGGATGCCAGAAACTCTAAAACGGTGAGGAACTGACTTAAAATGTCGGATGTGTAATTTAATTTTGGATGATCATCACTAATTTAGTGATACAGTATATACTGAAAACATTTTAATACTGCTACTACAGGAGTCTACATTTCTTTATGTCATTCAGAGCAGAAATCTGATTGCTGACATGTTGTTTGTTCTCCTTGTGTGTAATAATTTCCTCCTCTTCCTTTCTGTGTGTTCTCAGCTGCTTCCCAACCTCTACCACCTGGGATCAGCATCCAGAGAGGAGGTGAACAGCTCATCAGTGGGTCCCATCCAGGAGAAACTGGAGTCCATGGCTGGAGAGGTGACCACTGTCATGGACCAACAACTGCAGGTAGTATTCTAACCTTTATAGATAGTTCAGTTACATCTTCTTTTTCAACTCAAATCTGTCTCCAAGCAGCCATTTTCTGTATTATGTATATTTTATGCATGAATACAATTTAAACAGGTCAGTTTCAAGGTTGCTGCTTGATTTTATATCAACACAACCAATGCGTTACACGTAATATAACAAGGTTTAAGTCAGTGTGGCTTCATCAGATCAGTATATCGGGAGTTATCAGACTCATTCTTTTCTTACCCCAGACTCTGTTGGAATCTATGGTGGACACAGCAGAGTCTCTGTGTCCTCATGTGATGAAGAGGAGTAATCTTCGTCCAGAGCTAATGAAGGCCAGTTCATCCAAGATGGTTGTTCCTAAAAGCTTTGTTGCCAAAACCCTCCTGGAGCAGTCTGGGGTGGATATTATCAACAAGATCAGGTGGGTTTCAGGTTACGTTGGGCATTGAGTATTTGTAAGTGTTTGGGTTTCTGAAAAAACAAGATTTGATATGCTTGTATTTGGTTCTGTTGTGTAATTAATTAACCAGCACCTCTTTCTTTGCTCTCTCTCTGTCAGTGAGGTGAAACTGAGTCTAGCATCCTTTCTGTCAGATCGCATTGTTGATGAGATTTTGGAGGCTCTCTCCACATCTCAACACACACTGGTAAGATTCTCATCAAACAGTAAACACCCACTGATTCACCCACAATAGCTGTTAATTTGGCTTATTCAGTTTCTGCAAATATTGCTTCAGTTCTGAACAACCACACCAGAAAATTCTGTATTTTTTCCTCCATTAACTTCCTCTCATCCCATCTTATTGCCCTTCCTCTCTCCTCACACATCTTCTTCTCCTCCTCTCACCTTTTCTTTCTTCAAACCTTTTTCTATTTCTTTCCTGTCCTCACAGGCAGACCATCTGGTCCGCCGAGGCCGCCCTCTGATGCAGCAGGAGTCGGTGGATCTCGACGTCCCGGAGGAGAAGATTCCTAAACGGGCATCGACCGAGATACTGGAGGCCGAGAGGCTCGAAGATCTGGAAACATGTATGGTAGGTAATAGTGAACATGGGGTGTGTCTGCAGGTTGGAGCTTTAACCGTCTGTTGACTTAACGCGGCAGCAATGAGCGTGGATTTGAACAAAAGGTAAAAGTTCAGTGATCAGTATCGGCAACAAGGCTACAGAATTGTTCATGAACTTCCTTAACGATAGAACCCACTTTGTTGATAAGTATGGAGTTCTTTAAGAGAGTCCACGAAGGATCCGCGTTCTGTCTTCTGTTTTTATAAATGCTATAAGGCAAAGCACATTTTTATGCAGATGACACACTATCGATATTGTATTGATATTGGCAAGAGTCCTTTGTGTACACTTGCTGTCACACCTGTTGTAAATTTGAAAAATTTAAAATATGCCCAGAAAAGTCAATCACTAACTGATTAATAGATCTTATAATTTAAGCAGTCATTCATGATATTGCCAGCAAAGCTACAGACACACATTATGGGCCATGAAAGCATAATTGATATAGACTAGGTTTCATACATGTGCACTAGCCGTTGGTCATCAAGCATCACAAAAGACTTCATCATGGTGCTTCTTTACAGCTAAACTCACACAATGCTCTCCCAGAGGTGCCCTCCCTCTCTGGTCACTACAGTGTTAAACAGCCCCACCTGCTGGCGAAAGTAGGCACCAGCATTCGGAACACACTACAGCTTATTGATTTCAAATATGTACCTGAGGAGTGTATTTGTTAATCATGAGCTGGATTTTGTTAGCTTGAAATGTTTTGGAGTGTCTAGCTTACTATGGAGGTAAATTTGTTGGCAAAAATAGATGTTTGAAGTGATCGAACGGTGGAAAATTGCCAGTGCAGTCTGCAGTTGATGAAAGCAGCATGTTTTCTGTCCTCTGGTCTCTGTACTGTTCCCTTTTTAATCTTCTGTTCCCCACCGTCCTCTCCGTCTCCTTCCCAGCCGCATGGTCGTCTCTTTCATTTTCCTCTCTTTGTCTTCATTAGGCCTTACTGTGTGTTGTTTTCCTTTCTCTTCAATCTTTTCCTCTCTTTTCTACCTGTGCTCCATGGAGATTCTGTGCTGCAGCGTAAGTAATTCTGTCCCGCCATCTCCTCCTCTCTATCCACTTTACTATTGTCTCACTTTACTTTCCCTTTTATGTATCTCTTCACTGTGCATGCTAGTTATACAGTCCTGTGTAACTTTTTCTACAGTTGAATCTTTTTAAAAAGTAGTAAAGGCAACTACTTTTTTACTGTTTTTTATCTTGGCAGTGTGACTATAGTAGGACACATAGTTCTTTATCTATCCTTCCTCCTGTCTTTGAATAATTTTTACACTATATTTTGCCACACTGCACTGCTCCTCGTCATTACACGCACTGTCTGTCATCACCAGTTTGTAAATGTGGATCACGGTTATAATAATAAGCCTCAGGGTGACACATTCTACCAGTGAAATAAGCTGTTTGTTGCTTCGTAACCCCAACAGCTGTCCCAGTTCTGTCACTAAGTTACAGGAACGGATAAATAATGGGGAAAGCACTTTATGAATTCACTGTTGTGCCTCGTAACCCTGTTTGAAAAACACTCAGCTGATACTTTATTTGTTAGCTGAGCTCTTGAGCTATAAAAAAAAAGAAACCAAACAAGTATGCAAACTTTTTCAAAATCAAAAAGCCCACGCTGTGCTGAAGAAAAAAAAAATGCCAGTTACGGAATTTATCGAATTTGTTCTCCAGTAGGAGATCAGAGGGGTGTACTATGCAGTGAAATTAATAAGTCAGCGAGGTGTGTTTAGCCGAAAGCAGTGTCTTTCAACCTGTTGAAAATTCAGCTGCACAGCTAGCCTACTTATGCTCAGAGTTTTGGATTTATGTCGCCTCTCAGGAGCACCAGCCTTTCACTAATTCTTCTCCTGATTTTCTCCATGAAAGATACAAATTCTCAGCTTAAGGAATACGTTGTATTTGCAAACCTGAAGCTACCGTAATGGCACTGTATGTGTGACATGGAAACTACATGCATTCTGTTGATGATGAGGAAAATGCATTCATACTGTATGTTTATAATGTTGAGTCCTATTTTGCTGCAAAGTCCCTTTCACACCACTGGTGCTGCAGCTAAAAGAGCACTGATTAGAAACGAGATTAGTTTTGAATCAATCACAGGAAATATTTAATCATTCACAATAATTTTACTTTAATTTGCCCAAAAATGCAAGTAATGTACCTTTATTATGACACTTAAAGAGCTTTTAATGTACAACTGTCACACTAGAAAAAAAACAGTTTCACTGAGTGCTAATTGTTTTTTTTATCAAAATCTGTTCCAGTTTTTGGTAAGGTGCACAGTGTGTGACGGAGAAATCCTGAGTTAACAAAGAAAGTTGATAACTATCATTGTGCACATTGGGTTTTAGGTTTTAGTAAGCCAGCTAACGCAAAGAAAACCTGGCTATGTCGAACTTGCTTCTTAGTACACTCCTCTGAGGGAAATGGAAACCAGAACCCTGGAGGGTAAAAGCACAAGAAGTTCTTGTGTTATTAATCGGCCACCTTAGCTTAAACTGCAGGAATTGCAGAAATCGTATCTAAGCTACTGTTAATAACTTACATGTTTTTTATAAATTCAGAACTGACTTCCATTGATGTGACAGATTAAATGATGGTTGGTCATAATGCAAACCATCAGACTATTACACCTTGTATGTTTGCAACATACAACCTAACAGCTCAGTTGTTGCTTTTTGACAAATACTGATTGTTCTTTTGTTTAGAGGGACATTACTTTTATTTTGCGAATGCACACACAGTTGCTCAAAGACGTCTAAAGCCTTCAATGTTTAATGGACCAGTTGTGATTTGTAGAAATTTGAATTTTTGTTCACAGTTGCCAAAACATCTTTATTTGTTCCTTTCTTCAGATGACTCCTAAATCCAAAAGGAAAAGCATCCATAGCAGAATGCTGCGGCCAGTGTCCCGTGCCTTCGGTAAGGTTTTTATCATATTTTCTCACTATTGATCCACCTTTGACTTGAGGTCAAATGAGAGCACACTTATGATCTTATCAAATTACAAACCTACAGAGATGGAGTTTGACCTTGACAAGGCCCTGGAGGACGTCCCCCTTCACATGGAGGACTCTTCAGCATCTTCTCACACTCCGCCTACTCCATCTTTGGTCCATCTCAAGCTGGAGCATCGTCCTTCAGGAGGAATGGTAGAGCTGCCATCTGAAGAAGAGAAAAAGCTGCAGCACTTCACCAAACTACGACCGCGGAGGAACAAAAAAACACATTCCAGCAAAGTACCTGTGAGTAAAGCATCGCTGGTTCAAAATGGGTTTGAGACATTCATGGCCCCAGAAGAGGTGGACTTACAGCTACCTGCAAAGTAAACTTAAACTGGAAAGATTTGTAGTCATAGTCCAGTCATGAAATGCCAGTTGATCCAGAAAAAAACATCCAATTGTCCACCCCTTTCTTTCAGCAAATCAGCAGCACTGCATCTCAAGATGGGGAACAGAACGGCCTCATGGGAAGAGTGGACGAGGGAGTGGATGAGTTCTTCTCTAAAAAAGTCACCAAGATGGATTCCAAGTAAGGATTATGCTCCATTTGTATCTTCCTCATGAAGAACTGTCCTTTTTTTCCCCCCAATAAAAATGTACTGAAAGTGCTTCTATCTCTTGTTCTGTCACTTGTCAGACGTTCCAAGGGTTCAGACTCTCAGGATGGAGAGAAGAAGAAGAGTAAAGGAGGATTTCTAAACCTCATCAAACGATCTTCCAAATCTGATAAATCAGACAAATCGGATAAGTCAGAGAAAAACCAGGCGGCCGCGGCATCCTCTGGTCCATCTTCCGCCTCTGGAGTCTCTGCAGCTGCATCCAGCATCCCCGAGGAGCCGTCCTCTCCAAAGGTGGCAGTGAAGAGTCCGGCACCGGAGCCAAAGTCAAGGTAGAGATGAACACTGAAAATCAGAATTATGTCTTTTGTACCTCTGTATTCACATAATCCTCAGTGACAGTTTCTATCTCCACTCCAGAGACGCCTCCAGTCGCTCTCAGCCCACCGACTACAGCAGCAGCTCGGATCGGTCCGAGGAACTGAGGACACCAGACTCCATAGATGAACCCTGGGAGGGTTCAGACGGCAGGGGGAGTCCTCAGGGAGGGAGGCGGTACCCCGGGGTGCAGATGATGGGCAGCGGCCTGCTGGCAGAGATGAAGGCCAAGCAGGAGAGGAGAGCACACAAGGTAGAGTGATGCTGTTGAAACCCAAAACACTGGAGTCACAGGAAAATATGGGAAAGTTAGCAAAAATGAGAGGTAGCGGCATACGACAATGTACATGTCCCTGATTATAACCTTAAAAGATGATAATAAATACAGTGTACGCCGCCACAGTATGATGTGTTTCATCTCCTAAATGAAAGTTGTTTAGACTCTAGACTTCCATCTATATATTCTTCTTTACAAATGCAGAAGCCTCTTGGATGAGAGTTGAAATGTCTTCAGGAACCTTAAAGAGAAGGGTGAGGTTAGGGTCAGGGTTGGGGCTGTCCAAGGGTCATCCAAAAGGTTTCTTCAGAACTAAGAGTTGAAACTTCTTCAAGAACTTTGAAGAGAAGTTCCTTTTTTTCCTGAAGCTCCAAGGATTACCGTGACCTCAATGACTGATCAGCTACACAGACAACGAAGGAAATCAGCTCTTAAAAATGATTAAACCGGAGACACCAGAAGATTTTTTCCATGTCAAAAAAATGTAATTTATTTTTAGCCGTTTAAGTGAACAATAAAAGAAGATGGCAAGTAAATGTGCTGCATTTTACATTCAGATGCCACTGGGGCACCTGCAGCAACACATACTCCTCTTTTCACGTTTAACTTATAGCCAGAAAGGTTGAGTACAAAGCAAAAAATAATCCAGCTGTAACCATTATCCCACGCTAGCATTATAAAATACACTGAATGGCCAGAACAAGCTGCTGTCAACTCGAGAAATGTCAGCTTCACTTGACCTTTCTCGCCTTTGTCCTATTAATAACTGTTCCACTGTGATCCATGTGGTCCACTCGAGTCTGTAGCAGCAGTAGAGACACTCATATTGAGCTGAAATGAAACAAGTTAACATATATAGTAAATGCTTCTGTATCTTTACATGTCAAATAGCTGTTTTCTGCTCTATTCATGCTGTATTTATGTTCCAAATCTAGTCACATTTAAAGGAGAATGACAAACTAAGGGTAAAGGTATGATCACAGTGACATGACGGTGAACTAGAGGGAGATGCTTGTTTAAACGAGGACACTCTTGTTTTTGGGATAAATCGCTGCAGGTGTTCAGCCTCCACCTGTCAAAGCTGGTTTGTTCAACACTCAGGAGGTGTTGGTTTCCAGCTGTGAGAAAATGTAAAATAAGAAGCATCTACCATCACAGGCAGGAAAAAATGCTGAGACTCTCTGTCTTCAGGCTGCACATGACAACATGTCAGCACAAAAACAACACAAACAAGCCGGATTCTCTACCAGACAGCAGCAAGGGGAGGAAGGTATATGGAAACATGACAGAATAAAGGCTATTTTGCCACAAATTCACTAAATCACAAGCGTTTCAGTTGTCACATCTCTTGTCTTTCCTACTTTGACTTATTTCCTCGAAAGCATATAAGAAAATACAAAGAGGAAATCTAAAAATAGGAAATAAATCCTACACATGCACAGATTTTAATAAGGCCAATAACTGTATTTGTGCTATGTAGGGCTTCGGTTTGTGTCTGCACAACTTTAAACGGTGCTTGGCTGCGTTCGCTCCGATTATGATCAGCCCCTAACTAGTCATAACAGACTGTGCATGTGTAAGAGGTTTATGGTGTTCGCGGCATTAGGGGGGTTTTCTGACCTCGTATCAGTTGCACTAAAGCTTCTCCTGCCATCTGCTTGTTCTGGCTGCCTTCCAGGTGTGTGTGTGTGTGTGAGTGTGTGTGCAGGTATAATGGAGAGAGCCAATCAGGAAGGAGGTCATTAATGCAAAGCTGAGTGCCTGATTTTTTAGGAAGGACAGCGCCCCCTTGTGTTTATATGTTGTTATAAAGGGGACGTGCTTTTCTTCAGTCACTGGAAGAATAAAAGATTAAAATTAATATATATATATATAATTCTATGTATATATTTCACTGCAATTTGTAAAATATAAGTGGCCACTTTGTACTGCATCTATATGAGACATATAAGTACATACTTTTTGTGTCCTAAAATGAAGTAGTCCAAGAGAAAAGAAAAAAACAGTTTTTATTATTCTGCAATCACGAGTACTGATCCAACATTTTGTCCTTGTGTCTCCTTCAGTCTTCCAGCCCTGACAGACCTGACAGCAATGCAACAGGTGAGATGTTTAACCTGTTGAGGTAAACATGAAAAGTGTCAGAGAGGAACAATTTTGGATTCAAAACCCTGACAGCTAAATTTCAAACGTAAAGGTTAATGATTCATGCAGAACTACGCTTGTGGCTTTTTCTGAAGCAGCTACTTGTTATTATTTGGGGTTTCTGGTTTGTACCAATATAAACATACATAAAAATCACAATTGTTTTCTTTTTTTTTTTAATGTTTACGTGTCCAAGCAGCCAAGCCGCAGAGCACCGCATCAGAAAGCAGGTCTCCCGGTGGTTCCTTCAACAAACCGGACCCTGCCTCTCCAGAAAAGACGTCACCACGTGGTGAGACTAAGCCTGATCCTGCTCCTCGCATCAGAGCCACATCCTCCTCCAGCTCCCCCGGAGGACCAGTGAGCCCCAAACCACCGGTGCCACAGGGAGCGAAGCCAGCTCTGGCTGCTCGACCCACGATCCCGCAGAAGCCGAGGACCACGAGCAGCAGTAGGAGCATCGGTACTGTCCAAGTCCTGAGGCGAAATTCTGCTTTTGTCCTAGTGATTTTAACATTTTGTCTTCCTGCAACACATCTTTGTTGGTTATTTTAGTTTGTTGACCCTCTGATCCATAAACCGAATAGTTTGAAATGCATGTTAAGAATAAATACATTAAAAATCTACAAAATGACACCATTTGTCAGATTTACAGAATGTATAAACAGAAAGATTTTAAACTTTCTAGAACTTATTGTGAGTGACACACAGATCCATCAGGAAAACTAACAGAGCAGAGCGTTACAATTGTTACTTACTCTACGGGTCCCATTTAAAACTTTGCCAAAAATAAATCAGTCGCCATGAAACTTTTCTATAAAAAACTTAAAATTCTGCATTCCTGTCTGAAACTGTGGAGCCATTAGCGATGATGCTGCAACCAACAGTCACATGACAAAAATTCTTTGACTTTCCGGCTGAACTGCAGGTTGTGTTTCCTGAAAATACAGAAACACATTCAAAACTGTAAGTAATAAAAAATAACTTGTAGAGCCACCATTTTTTTCCAAAAATAAGAAAAACCTTGGGGGGAAAAAAGGTGAATTCAAGTTTTTTTCATTTTTTGAAAAAAAAAATTTAAAAAAAGTCCAACTTTTAGGATTTAACTTATTCTAAAATCATTTTAAATTCTTTCTCCCTCTAGCCATGGTGTTGCTGTTTCCATAGAGGTACGGGGCTTTATATTGTAGTAAAAAAATAAACCTACAGTTAGAAAACGACGACAGAACAAAAAAACACTTCCTTGAAATTCAGAAGTAATGCAAAGCCCTACAAGATATGAGCAGCCTGTACCAGCAGTCTATCATGTCTACAGTGTACAGTACAGTATATTATAAGAGAATCAATATTCAAACGAGTGGTTTCGCAAACATAAACTTTCATCTAATTTCTATCTGCTCCATGTTCAGCCTGACTTGCCAATCAATGATGCAGAGGTCCTCCCACGTTGTTTAGTGATTAACAAATCAATGCACTTTTGCACTCAATGCACAACTAAGAATCCAACAATGAATAGCTGTGTGTGCTACCAGAGGGTTAGAGACACGTACGCAAATTTAATGAAGCAACCCTGTTCTATATTGAAGTGACTGTAAAAAAAAATTGTTTTACATCAGTTTTTCGCTTCATTCTCCACATAGACGAGAGCTCAGATTCACCCTGCAGCGGCAGCTTGTCTCCGAAAGTCACTGTTCTCCCTCCGACACTGAAGAGGGCGCTATCAGAGAAAGACAAGGAGTCGGGAGTCTCCAGCAACAAAACCACTCAGGAAGGTGAGTGTGTCCGAAAATGTGAGAATCATCTTCAGCTGATTAATCCAGTGCAGCAGAAAAATAAAGTCAAGAAAACATCAGCAGCTACTTTTTACTCTGGTGGATGTTTGATGTCAGGGTCAGACAGTGTGTAGGTCTCATGTTTATATTCATCCCATGGAGGCTGCTCTTGTCTGTTGTACGATATGACACAGTGATGGATTCAGGTCACGCTGCCTTTCATCTCTTATGTATTATGTAACAGACATGGTTTTTTTGTACATGTTCCCTTCTTCTTTAGTCTCTTGGTTCTTCAGAGCTTTGATATCTGAAAGCTTTGGCTTCTTGATGTTTTTCCTGTGTTTTGTTAATCCTCAGTAGAAGTTTAATGAAAGTTTATTGATATATTAAGCATGAATAGTGGATGATTCCAGAGAGATTTAAGAGCTTAAAAGACTGACATTCTTCCTCATACTTTAAGATTTTATGATGCCGTGAACTTAACCGTAACATATTAATGACTTCAAGTGATGGAGTTCAGCAAAGAGGGGAAAGAAACTGTCCAAAGGATCTGTTTACATCACAGATCAGAGCAGATCAGAAGCTATTTGGTGGTGGTGTGCACAACAGGATATTTAGTTTTCTCTACACGTTGAAGACGATCAAAAAGGCTCAAGTATTGTGGAGGGGAAAAAAGAATGACAAGCACGAGGTCTGATCGATCGGTTCCATCGCCTATAAAAAAAACAAGAAACAAACCCAATTCAAATTTGACCACTATCCCCTTCGAAGTAGTCGTCCTGTGCAATGATACACTATTCCTAGTGCTCCCGCCATGTTTTGAAGGTTCCCTGGCAGTAACGTTTTGGGCACTTGAAGGAGTGCTTTTGCAATTTCACCATGGGCATCAATCTAACGCAGAGAGCAAAGCAAAACTTGCTAAATTTGACTCCATGTGACTCCTTCATTTTCCCTAAAATGAAATTCAGATTGAAAAGCTTCCCTTTTTCCACAGTGGAGAAGAAGTCACAAAAGATGCTTCATGCTTTTTACAGCGTGGCACTTCCAAGGAGGGTTCCAAACATGGCAGGAGCACTGGGAGCAGTATGGAGCTGCACAAGGGGAATACTTCAAAAAACAGCCACATTTAGGTTAGGTTCAGGTACCGAAGGTCCTAATGAGCAGGTCTTAGACTATGCTCAGTCAACAAAAACAGATATTCAGACCTTGGACTGTGTTAAAGTGAGGCCATTGATAACTGGGTGTAAGGCTGTGATTGGAGGATGAGCAACCTGTAGCAGCAAACTTTAAATAACACATCTGCAGCCTTTCCAGTTCATATTTGATACCTTTTTTAATTCTGTAGCAGATTTATGTAGGGGTTGATTCTTTCAACCTACCACTGCGCTACTTTTGGATACTTTAGAGAACTGATAAAATACATAAATCAGCATTTGTACCCATATTTCTGATATATTCTGATACGCTAAATTGAAAGCTGCCATGTTGCCCTTCTCTTGACCAATCTGTTATTGAACCATGATACTCAGAGAGCTGAGGCATAAAATGGCAGATTGCCAGTTTACAGATATGATTAGAGAGGTCTGGGCTGTGTCCTAAACATTTAGAAATCGAGCACAAGAGCAGCCTTCTGAGAGGAACTCACAGTACAGACAGTAATCTCTACTCCATCCAAGTGTAGTGTGTTAGTTCTTCTGCTTTATTCTAGATAGTAATTGCATTGCAGAGGTGAAACAAAAACTTTTCAAACTTGGAAATGAAAGTAGCTCTGCTCCTGTGTCCAATAGTTTATTTGCCTGAATCATTAGGCTACGAATTCAAATTGCATTTTACTTTTTCTTTTTCTTTTATGGTTGTGTATAATATCATATGGTATCACAGCAGAAAAAAAAATGCAAAAATGATAAAGTTTTTATATAGACAGAGATTTGAGGCACCAGTAAAATAATAAAAGCACTCACTGTCATGTTCCCGTCTGTTGTTTCCAGTGAGGTCGGACTGTGTTCAGCGATCCACCAACTCTGAGGATCACGGCTCTGTCAAGACCAAAGAACAAGGTCTGAATCCAGACAAGGACAAGGCAGCGCGTAAGAAGTCCTCGGACTCTGGAGAGGAGGTGGACAAAGACTTTATTTTAATATGAGCAAGACACATTTTTTTACAGCTAAAGCCTGCTGACAAAGCCTCACATTTTCCTTTAGAAAAGCAGCTAAAGGGGAATATAATTACGATTTCATTTCTATTAGTTTGTCTGTGTAGGTCCTGTCTGACCGCAGAGTACAAACGCCATTTCAAATTCAGTTTTAGTTTGATTATGTGTGATGAAACTGTCGATGGATGTTAACACGTTATGTCACCTGAACCAAAACTGTGCTGATTCTCAGAAGAGCTTCCTCCTCACAAACAGCCTTTACTCTGGATCTGCTCCACCTTGTTCTTTCAAGGAAAAAAAAAAAAAACTAATTCAGGGTTGGAGGAAATGGGTCACTGGTTGATCGAGCTCATTCAGTGTGTGAATGGTGAAACCTGAATTTAAGTTTGTAAACCGGCTAAAAATGAGACATTTCAGAAAACAGCAGCAAGACTGTGAAGCTGAGTTACATCTAAAATCACTTCCTTTAACTGATAACTTTCTGTTTGGAGCTCTGCTCCCAGGGACCAAACGCTCAATAACAGTTACACCAGGATACTGTTCTGTACTTGAAGTCAAACTTACTACCAGACCAGGACCCAGCTGCATTTCTTTCCTTCAGTATATTCGTATAGATTTTACTATATGCTATTTTCTGTAAGTTTTCCGGGCCTTCAGAGGCGACTGAATCCATTATATGCAATTCATCTTTCTTTACAGGAATAAACAGGTTTCAGCTGAGAATCTCGGCACAGACAGACATCAGAAATATTCAGTTGATGTAGCTTTTCTAGCAGGAATATTTTGACTTATCCACAGGAGGACTAGCTGGACTCTTCATAGCTGGAGACTCCATCAAACACTGCGACTGCACTCAAGTGACCATGTGATGCTTTGACTGCGGTAAACTTTACCTTCACTGATCATCAGTATGGCTTCAGCACTGTTAACTAACACTGTTTGTATTCAGACACTGTGGAGAAACACCTGTTGTTATAATATGCGGTTCATGGGGATCAAAGAGGAGTATTTATGTGTCTTTATGTGTAATACAGAGTGTGATTTTAAACTTCTGGGACCATTTTGCTTCAGTGTAATTTGGTCAAACCAAGTCTGTCAACAGTTACATTTTTGGCGAGTCTTCCTGAGAACAAATCAATACAAGATAAAGGCAGCATAGCAAGCTGTTTTCACTTTGATTAGCAAAGTCTGAATAAAAATTACTTGATTTTGACCAGTCTTAATTCCACTGTGAGCAGTCACAACAGCCATATTGGCAGGCATATCTGTGATTCAGTTTTAATTGAGTAAAATCATCAAAAATGTCATTTTAACTAGTCAGAATATTTGTGAATGATGCTGCTCATGCAAGACTTCCCATTGGATATTGGCCCCACAAAGCATTTGAAGATTCAGTTATTAGAAAATTGCGGTTTAAGATCTCATCAGCGAGAAATCTGCGAACAATGAGAGTTTTGTCATTAGATATTTGTCATCAAAATTTACCAGAACTTTTGCTCCAGGCTGCTCTGACCTGGCGGTAAAATAGTTTAAAGTCGTATTTAAAAGTCAACACACCCCTGCTTCTAAGTACAGATTAATGCAATGTCATTTCTCTAATCTAACAAACCTGTAATTACATGTTTTACAAGGCAAAATTCCAGTTAAGGATATCTGCTACACCACCAATTCCAGTTCAGTTCCAACATCAATTCAAACTTAATTTAAGATATCTAAAAAGGACAATATAGACATCTTTAATTACAGTTATAAACCAGTCAGAATTCAACTATGCATATCTGAAACTGGAATTATAGTTATACGTAATTCAGCTGCATATTCACATCACGGATTTTTGTAAATGTAGAAACAAACCTCCTCCACGTAAACAGTGAATGTGATGTCATTAGTCCTGGAAAGAATGATGTTGCGAATATCTGGAATATTCTTTTCAGGCAGGAAGAACTGAATCACAGACATCTGCAACTCACATCCAGTCTTGCTACGAAATGTGAAAACAGCCCGTCTTAGTCCAGTGACTCCATTGAGTTTTTTTCAAATTCAGCAAATTCTTCCTCAGGAACGTATCTTGCCGCTAAAAGAAAACCACAATCTGATGTTCATCAGAAATAAGAAGCAAGAGGGATGGTAAATCTAGCACATGCTAAGGAGCTAAATATCAACAATCTTTCTTAAGAATCACAGACTTCAGCTTTGAGCCAATCTGAGACTCTGAATTGCACTTAAAGACACATGAGTCTTCACTTCCAGTAACACACTAATGCTAGATTAATATTCCACTGGTGTATCAATGGTTCAGTGTAAACCAGAACTTATGTCAAAAAGAGGAGTATCAGAAGATAAATTTTATTTTCGTAGAATGAGCCAGACAATAACTTCATCAGGTTGTGTGAAAGCAGGACACTGAAAGCACTCTTCTTTCTCAGCATCTCCTAAAATTTCGTTCATTTCTTTCCCCACAGAATTAGACATTTCTTGAGTGTTCTGCTTATATTTGGCAGTCATGTTTCCTGTGGTAAAAAAGAATGCAGTGTCTGCAGTGAGAGTGAACTGACAGTAGCTGTATTTTGACCACATGGACCTCTGGGTTTCAACATCAACGTGGGTCTCAGGCTGATTCCTCTCCTTTATCTTTTCTTAGAGCAAAAAAAAAAAGCCCTTTTCACACTGCTGTACAGTTTGCACCGGATACTCAAAATTGCGTTGTATTTAAATGCATTCCTCTGACAAATAGCAAAAAAAAAAGGTCTGTCGTCTCTACCCAAACCATAGGATTGTTTTCTTTGATACAGGATCATGCAATTTTACAAACATAGCGCATATAGTTTAGAAATATAGTCATTCTGCTGCATTCATGTCATACTGTAGTTATCTTCAAGTCCCTTCCCTCTTTGATTTAACGCCTAAAAACTCATCTTTATGTGTCAAAAATACACATTTAGGAATTTTTCTGTGGAAAAAAAAAACCAACAATCCCTTCATGCCTTAAAGTGGTTTGGATGTAACTCTGCACCATCGTGCCGATTTGTCCCTGCCAGCTCGAGCACACCAGCTCACCTGGACATCTGCTCAGACACTATAACAATCAACATTACACAAGTTGTAATACTGGAGTAATTCAGCCACACGTGTTAGGAAACAGATTCTAAAAAAGAACAAACATACAGAAAGCGTCACCCTGCAAGCTAACAAGATGTTTCCTCAGGTTTGTTGCATATAAACGATCATCAGTACACTGCAGTTTTAAGGTACAACTGCTTCTTTCGCTCATTATGCATCTTCCAGCATTTAAAAAAACACCATATGTTATAATGAAGGATGGAGGATAAACCCAGATTTCCTGGACTTGGTGCTATATTCTCTGTTCTCCTCTGCAGCTGTCTTGAGCTCTACAATCCTCACATATGACATGAATGCAGCATTATACTCATCAAAGTGATTTTCTATTATACCAGCTTTAACCACTTTTGCTTTCGCTAGTTTGGTGCCAAACTGTACTCCAACCATACTTTTAGATGTGCACTAGATGTTGGGTCGTCAGTGTGAAAAGGGCACAGCTTCTATTTTTAGTACTGTACAAGAGTAACTGAAGTCAGGGCCAAAGCTCTTCCTGGTGCACCTTCTCCTACTTGATGCTATCTGCTGATGTCTTTCTGCAGGTTGGACTTTGCTTCTTTGTCACTAATTAAAAACAACACTGTTCCTGCTGTATATAGTCAAACTGTTCCTGATGTCAACAACTGCTTTGATTGTCAAACATCACTTTTGTGTCTCATAAATGTTCCAGGACACATCTAAAGAAAAAAAAAAAAAGAGAGAAAGAAAATGCTACAACTTTGCAATACGTTTAAAGCAAGCGGCTGCATTCTGCTTTTTTAACCACTTTCCTGATGCAGGGAAACTCTCTGTTTTTGCTTTCTGTGGGGGTTTTCAGAAGCTTGTTGCACTGTGTGAAAGACTGATGATCATTTCCAGTTCTGTCCTGCTAACATTTCTGTTGGTGCACTGAGCGGAGAAACGTGAAAATAGCCAGTAGCATAAAGTCTGGACCTGTGAGTCTCTGTGTGTGTGACTGCATGATGTGGCTGTGAGTTGTACTGGATGTATATACTGTATGTGCTTTCTTACATGTAGGTGTGTGAGTGTGTGTGTGTGTGTGTGTGTGTGTAAAAATGCACATGTAATATACACACTGATGGATTCGCACACCTACGTGAACACAACAAATCCTCTATTGTTTGGTACTAAGTACACTACTATACTAAGGGTTTGTTTCTAACTTATTTGGAATAAAAACGAAAAAAAAAAAAGCAAACAGTTCCGCTGATGTCTTGATTCTTTGTTGGTTTTCTCTCACCTGTACATTGTGTTCATAAGTGTAGAAATTAATTCTTTGTATGTAATTATTTGTTCTTGCGTGTGATCAATTTACTTTCATCATGATTCAGAGAGGAGGTAATGCAAAGCGACGCCTTTTTTTTCCTGAGCTGGAAAAAGAACTGCATAAATACAAATTACATGTTTGCTCATGTTCTCAGTCACTTTGTTCTGTTCTGTCATGGACCCGTATGTTTCACTGAGTCTCGTGTTGGACATTTCAAATATTAATATTGATTAAAATAATTTTACAGGCGACAACCTCTCTGCATTGTCTCGTTTGTCACAAACTGAAGCTCTCTTTGCAGTGTCACAGCACAGCCACCAGATGGCAAATATAAAACCTCTGAGCTCCCTGTTGGTCCTCACACAGAGGAGGTGTGGTTTTCACTTACTCACAAGGAACATAAGTCTTTCAGCTGAACAGTGCTACACAGTTTGCCACCTTAGAATTCATTGCTTTTATGTGTAAAAGTTGACAGCTGACTTCTTTGTCAAAATGGACAGTGCATTTGATAACCTGGATGCAGCTGGTTTTCTGGAAATCTGGCAACACTTCGATGCAGATGGTAAGAACATTTAATTTTCCCAGTAACCCAGTGCAGTACCTGCAATTTATCCTCTGCTGTTGCTAGATAACAATCTAAAAAACACCACCAAAAAAAACAAAAAACTGGGAGTCTCAGGTGTAGAATGTTACTTATATTAACGAAAAATGTAAATTAAATGTATTTTGGCTGTTTCTGTGCAAAGTCCTGCCTTAAATACTAACTTGAATCCTGCAATATTTGAAAATGCAATTTCCTACAGATGTCATGTCTGAGAGGAGTTAGAGAGTAAAAAAGGTTTAAAATAATAAACATCTGTGTGAAGTTAAAGAACAACTTGCTCATGATTAAATGGACATTTTGAGGAAAATCTAAACTTGCTTCGCTGCATTCACACCTTCAGGACCTGTACAACTTGTTTTTTGTTTTTTGGCAGATAACGGCTACATCGAGGGCAAAGAGCTCGATGACTTTTTCCGTCACATGATGGAGAGGCTCGGTCCACAGGTGAGTCCACTGATGTATAATTACTGATGACAGCAAGTCAGTGCAGCTGAACAAGCACAAAGCCACAGAATGGGCATCATTTCCGTCCGATAAACATGTCAGTCTGCATGCTGCTTCACTGACAGCAGCAGAAGTGTTGAAGTCAGGGTAGTGACCTTCTAAATAATGGTCTGTATTTGCTCGAAGTCTTAGATTCCATTTCTACTAACACAGGCAAGTGTTGATTTTGAAATGTGCACAAAAATCCAAGTTTGCTTCAACGGGGTGAATCATTCTCTACTTCTTAAGCTTTTCACAGGACACAGTTTGTCATGTTTAAAGCCTTGTTTGCAGTGTTTCTGATCAGTGCTGTGTGGGCAGCTGAAGCTCTCTGCAGCTCTCTGGATGGGTGCGGTGACTAACACAATTAGAGGAGATCTGGAAACTGTCACAGGAAACGCCTTCGACTCTGTTACAAACTGACCTGAAAAAAAAAAAAAAAAAAGAAGCAGCATTTGTGCTCGTGTTTTTGTGTGCGCTAATGACGCTTCATGTTTACTGAGCAAAGTCAAATGAGCCGTACATCTCTCAGTATATGCTCCTGTGTGGACTCTGCTGGATACTAATTGCGCTGCACTAGAACAAACACACCACCAACCACGTGTCACTTTGCCTCTCTGATGTTTGCTTTCCACCATGATGCCCCCAGGAGAAGCAGAGCTACGGCATAATCCTTCTGCTGTCCTCTGAAACATTGAGAAACATTAACCACAGAGTGAGCTTTTATTTGTATGTCCTTTATTCCCCCTAAGGCATCAGATTCAGTAGTTGTGAAGCTACAGAATATTGCCAGTTAACTCGCAGCATAATCAGGTTCATGCGATCAGTTTGATGTGTCATTAAAACCTGACGAAGACACAAAAGAAACAACATCAGTCGAATATTAGGTTTGCTTTAAAAAAAAAGTTACCCTCTTGGGGCCAAACATGAGCGTCACATGTGCTGGTGAAGACAAAGACTAATGAGGGCAGCTCTGGCACCTTGTAGTCTGCAGACTGTGTGCTCTGCCCTGCATGAAGCCATGTTTCAGACAGTAGATCAACAGGTTTCTATAGTTACAGTGCACTTATGAAGGTTTAGGAAAAGACACAGCAGAAAATGAGCTCTTACATGTAATTTAAAATGACTTTAATGACTTGAGGCTTTTAACTGATTGTGAGAGAACACAGGAAAAGAGATAAACCTCAGATAAGCATGCAGCAGATGAACCTTGCAGCTGTTTTAACAATCACATTTAATTTTTTATGTTCTGCAAGAGTTAAAGTAGCAAAGTTACTCAGATTAGTTTTGTGTTTTAAATCGGCAGCAAATGACATGAATAGCTCCTGCACGATGCATTCAAACATCTTACTCTTTATTCTGTGTAATAGAAAGAATGGATGGTTGAAGGGCAGCAGTGTGAACTACAGAACACCTTTAAGAACAGTCAGCTGTGGTCCAGAGGAAGTAGACCTTGAGAGAAAAGAATAAAGGAGTATCCATGGTGACATTTCTTAAAATAGGCTCGACTCAGCCAGTAAACCGTTTTCTTCCACCACCATGCTTTAGGGTTTTTTCTTTTTTTTAAAAAAACAGTCATGTCTAATGTAAGGTGTCAGATCCAACAGGTTGGGGTTTTGTGTGTTATAGATCTGTCTTTTGTCTCTGTGCAGGAGAAGGTCACTGAAGAAAGAGTCCAGAGACTGAAGGAGAGGTTCATGTCTGCATATGATGTCACTGCTGACGGGAAGCTACAGATTCAGGAGGTACAACTGAAACCCCAACTTTATTCCTGTTATTTTCTTCACACACAAGTGGCTAGTTGACATTTTCTTCTGTGGTAGTCTCCTCGACGTGTCGTTGACCCTCCAGTCTGACACCACACACTTATTTCTCAACACCACAGCTCTCTTTCAAACCTCAAATTTATTTAGCTTCCCCTGTTAAGCGTCTCATGAATGTCGATCTTCTTCCTCTCTTTATCCTCTCCTCCTCTGCCGTATCTCTGCTTCATCTCGAGTCTATCTCACGTTTCCATGACAATGATGCAGCATGTACCTCATTCAAGAGGTATGAAAGCTAATTTCCGGAGCTGCTTGAGGGGTCATGCTCAGACATCTTCTCAGCAGGAGAAGGAGAGCAGCACTCAAACCATTTGCAGTAACATTTCATTGCAGGTACGCAGTCTGCATTAAAACTATACAGTACCAATAAATATGGATTCTGAATGGCACAGCAGTTCTAAATGGCAAAATGCCCAAAGATCTTTTCTGGATTGTCCAGTGTCAAACATCTAAAACAAATTGCTTGTAATTGCCAAAGGTTGAGTCCCAAATTAGTTTCTGTTTGAGTCAATTTAATTAATTTCATCTAATTAATCAAACTTGACTGACATCCTAACAAGCTGCAGCTGTTCCTCAGTAATGTAAAGCCACATTTTAATGCTGCTGAGCTCTCAGGCTGCACTCTGGGTTATTAATGCAGCTCCTGGTGGAGCAGCAGCAGCCACAGAATCTCATTTATTCATTCCTTCGTTCATTAGACCGGCCTCTTAATGCATCGCACCCACAGACCCTGAAGCTTTGGCTTTTACTTCTAAAGCTAAAGACAAAAAAAAAAAAAATCAATATGTCTTTCTTAAGTGGCCTGCTGAAGATTTACTGTAGCCGATGCAGGAACAGCCTGTTCTGAGCTTCATGTTGCTGTCAGGAAGCAATTCTGTATCTTCTGCTTGTACCAACTATATTCTATATCTGCAATCAACACTAGGAATTTAAAGTCCAAATTTAAAGTCTCCCACACTAGGACCATTTGTACATGAGGACTGCAGAAGAATTTAGCAGTCGGATATAGCTTTATAGATGTAGCCCACAAAGTCCTTATAGGTAAGTTTCAACCCCAGTAGTTGTTTCATGCTAGCAAGACCTATTCAGATGACTGAATAAGTCAAAACTGTAGAATTTAATAGCCACCAGGATGTAAAAACTGCATGTATGAAGTCAGCAATCAAATCTGGTAAAAATCCACTTGAAAAATTTGGTGACAAAATAAAATTTAAAGTTATGCTTTTACCACCTGTGACCAGAATTTACCAGGTTTATGTCAGTGCACCAATCAGCTGTTTGTCCCAGTTTCACAAAGCAGATGCTTGTGTTTTGGAGGGAAGTGTCGGGCATGTTTCATATAACCAACATCTTTGGCATTTACAATATTCTCTCATAGATTTCTCTACAGGATTCTTAAACGTCTCTGGCTAACAGCAGAAGCACTAAATCCCAGAATGGCATCAAGAACAAAACTATATTTTGGTTAATATCCAATTCCCTGTGTCAGGCTTCCTGCTGATTCAACTAGTGTCTAGGTGTTCCCAATAAACTGGCAACCGAGTGCGCATGCTAAACACAGATGTCACAAGAACTAAAATATTCAGAAACAAGAAATTATGAAAGAGAAACTCAGAAAATGGGACAGTACTTGTGTTTCTATATGGTACTGTAGGTGTTGCTGCAGATGCAATGGCTACTGGATAACCAGTACGTGTGTGTGCAACAACAGGCCTGATGTGATCCCTCAAAAATAAAATCTTCCGGATGTATTTTGTTGGGACAAGTAATGAAAAAGTAGAAAAAATGCTATGACTCTTATGAACCTAAACATGACAAGAAACACATTGCTGGTGAATGAAAGTTAAATCTATTGCAATATGGGGAAAAGGCAGAAACTGTCCAACATCTCTGTCAAAGAAAAGTGCAAAAGTACAACAACAAACATAAAAAATTAATAGTTCTACAAGTGTAATCTACAGAACGCTTCCTAATCCTATTAGACCCTCTAAGTCCAGCAACCCCTCTTCTCATAAGGGCCTGAGGTCTCCATTTTTGACCTAACCTGAAAATACACAAGCATAAGCAAACTATTAGTCACTGATTATGTCCATGTTATCAACATAAAATCAGCTTTCAACTGTTTTAGTTTTCACACATCGTCCCATAGTTTGAATGTAAGAAACTTTTCTAAGCAGGTATCTGACCCGAACACAGAACTGACAGCAAGTTTGAGTTGTTAACTTTATATTAAAAACACAATTTCAACATATATCCTGAAATGCTCCACACACAACATTGAAATGTGCTCATTTGCTTGATTAATATGGTATCAAGTAGAGATATCACAGAACCACAAGCTTGGTTGTTAGTCGTGTTGCCACTGACAACCAAGTTTGTGGTTGTGAGTTTGTGATGTTATATCGCTAATTCTGGATGCGACTCTGCCCTTTTTTTTTTTAAAAATGTAAGTGATTTGTCATGCTGTTTTCAGATACACTGTTGATTCTGCTCTACTGCTGGTGTTAGAAGGAAGTCAGCAAGTCTGTCAGAAAGCCACAGTATCCTGTTACTGCTTCAGTACAGCGGCATGTGACCTGACTGGCATTTATTGTACTTGTAGCACTTTTGATGCTGATGAAAACCTTTTACAACTCAGCAGTTTCACTCACTGAAGCAACAGTCAGCTGAAATACTTAGAGTCTGCTGCCGTATGTTGTCTTCTTATAATAGTAAAAAAACATTGCGAGTGGACTAATTTGTGTATTCAGTTTACTTTAAAACTGTTGAATCCAAACATTTATTATCTATTCGCAGCAACTGCCAACAGTTTTATATGCATGACAAATAAACTTGAACTAATGAAATACATAACGTCCCACAGTGGTAAGCTGACAAATGACATGTGTTGCATACATCTTTGTGTGTTGAAAACATCCTGGATTCTGCTCCATGATCTCTATTAGAAAACAAACATGTATATTATATTATTATTCTACAAGCAACCAACCATTTGCAACCACACTCGGGTGACAAAATCAATCTGAAGACCTTAAAAAGAAACGGAATTGACAAAGCCTGCCTTTGTATTCTCGCTTTGACACACTAAGAGTGGTGCTGCTGGTGGCATCGCGGTTGGTGCAATGCGCTTGTTCTAGCTGTGAGCCATATTTCAGTTTTGTGACTGCAGTATCATCTTTGATTTTATTGGATTGATGATCGAGGCCAGTTTAATCTGCTAATGGAAGGCTGATATTGTTAAAGGACAGACGAGAGAAGAGCAACATGAACTGGAGAGCAGCCAGGAGGCGCCGGTACAGGACGGGTTCATCACAGTCACTTCGGTTTCATTTGTAGAGGCTTTAGAGCTCTCTGCAGAGTTTCGTCTGATGCATTGCTTTTGTCTGTAGAAAACAAAAACTGAGCTCCATTAAAAGACCAGATGGGATCCGACTGAACTGCTTTGGAGCCTGTACATTTAAGAGCATCTCCTATTCACAGTGGAAAAAATGCTCAGACAACATTGTTATCAACTCACGCCCTGACTGTTTTTATTTTTCAGCTGGCCCACATGATCCTGCCCGAGGATGAAAACTTCCTGTTAGTTTTTCGCAGAGAAGCTCCTCTGGACAACAGTGTTGATTTCATGAAGGTAAAGTCACACAATGCACGAAACAGGATTAGGAAATCATGAAACAAGTTGCATCCACTGATAATTGTAAGTGTTAGGACAGATGAGAGGTCAGGAATGATTAAACAGAAGCACTGAAACTACACAGGTGTCCTGACTGTACACTTGGAGTCAATCATTCTTTGATTCAAGGTGTATAATCTGAAGTTGGAGGAGGATCAAGAGGTGAATTCAAAGGTGCAACAAGTGAACGTTTTCCTGCTTAAAACTGTAAAACCAGACTGACCAGAAAACGGTCAACAGTACAGAGTGGAAAATATCTATGACTTGCACAAGCAAAGTATGAGGAAGTCTTTTAACAAGAGTCATCCACAAAGAGTTGAACACAGTGCCGTTGTTCTTTTTTAGCTTTGACAACAGCTTTTCTTCTTTTTTTTTTAACTGTCTAAACTGAATCTGCACTTGCGAAAATAGAAATTTTCCAACCATCAGTCCAACATTCGGCGATAGTCCAAATATTCAAAGGGGAGGTTCACGGATATTTAGTATTGTGAACACATCTGCACAAATTTTCCAAAACTGACTGCCTTCATTTCCTATTCTGGCGTAGCAAGCTCAGCATTTGGATAACTGTCACACTTAAACGTGGGCTTTTCTAAATACTTTAAGGCTGCTGACGGTAAATGAATCACTTCTGTTGGCATGAACTTGACAGTGGCTGCAGCTAATTAACCTCTCACACACTACAGCTGCCAGCTCCTGTTAGCTTTGAATTGCACTTTACAAGATTATTTACCAAGTTGAATCCCCAGTGAGGCACAACATTAAATTAGCAAAACAGAATGGGGGGGGAAAAAAAAGAATATATATGTATTCAAGCAGTGGCCCAACCTCTTGTATTTAATGCAGATTGCACCAACAAACTGCATTTTCTTGTAAATATTCTATGAACAACAGAATGTTAATACTAAGTATGATGATTTCACACAACAACCACCACCACCATCAGACCCACCCCTGTACATCGCATGTATGTCCTAATTTGCCCTCTTCACTCTGCTGCAGATTTGGAGGAAGTACGATGTCGACTGCAGCGGCTACATCTCGGCTCAGGAGCTCAAGGTCTGGCCGTCATTACACAACAGAACCAAACCTGAACACCTCTTTTCCTCTGTGGTGGCAGAAAACAACCTCACTGTTTCCTGTTGTGTCATCAAGATCTTTGTCTCATTCAGCTTCTGACACAATGCTTTTTGTTTAAAATACAGTTTCATTGTAGATTCTTGGTCAGATTTATGAACTACTGTGGTGAGTTTAGCATTAAAACACCACAACGAGCAGGAGAAAGATTCTTCTGTTGACATGCAGGTGTTTAAAATAACGTCTAATGGATGCTATGAATATAAATGCAGCTCTTTCTTGCATTTTAATTGATTATTGCATTTTATTGCCCCATTCAGTTCTTCTTAAATCTCTTTCTCACTTCACAAATTGCTAAAATGAAGCTTCCATCACGTTTGTAGAGTTTGTGAACTGTGGACTTGACTGTGTTGCTTTCTGATTCTGTGACAAACCATCTCAGGCCTTCCTGAAAGACTTGTTCCAGCAGCACCACAAGGAAGTGCCATCCGATAAGCTGGACGACTACACCGACACAATGGTAGTAACACAACTCACACACACTTCATTGCAAAACTCAAGTATAACTTCCTTGGTGCGGTCAAGGAAGATTTTCTGGAATCTACATAAAGAATGTCTGTGTTCATGCACAGCTAGTGCTGCTTTTAAACAGCTGGAGGCAGCGTTTTAACTCGGCTATGTTCAGTCAGGTTTCCTCGTTGACCTGTTTGTTCAATGAATGTTCCACCATTAACTCTAACTGTTAGAGTCTAACTGCTCCTCTGTGGCGGTACATTTACTACATACAGTGGTTGTATGGAGTTGATTTTAGATACTGTATATTTTAGATTATACCGAGCTGGTCAAGAGTCAAATCTTTTCTAGTGTGTGCTGTACACTAACTGTAAGGGGGAAAATCATGCAACAGTTGTCCTCAAAACATCATTTTTGGCAAGTTTATTTTAATGAGTACAAGCTGTAGAAAGCTAAGAATAATCCATTTGCTGCAATAAACAGCTTTTACCAAACTACTGCCAAATGAAAATGTGGTTCTCAATGAGAAGCTATTTTCAGAAGAGATTTTACACTTGTGACATCTTGTGATTTGATAATAATAATAATAATAATAACAATAACTGTATTTATATAGCAGCTTTTAATAACAGAGTTTACAAAGAGCTTTACAGACAACCAAAAGAAAAGAAGGATCCTAGAAGGAAGAAGGAAATAGTTACACATGGTAAAAGACTTTCAGAGGGAATCAGTACAATAACACCAGATAAGTAATAAATGAACCAAAAATGCCACAACCAATAAAATAAAATACAAGGTTAAAGCCTTCAAGGCTAGTAATAATAATAAATAATAATAAGTAGCAATAATTAAAGTAAATAAGAAAAAATACATGAGTAAATAAGTAAAGGGTAAAATAAAATGAACAAATAATTTTAAAAACTGCTAAATATATATCTTTTGATTTAATAAACTACATTATTTTGTGTGCAGCTGTCACAAAACACAGGTCAAAGAAAGAGGAAAATATATTTAATATTCTTAATTTTTCACCTTCTTGAGTTGTTTTTCTAGAAACTCCATCTCAGGCCAGATTTTCATGCAATTTTTTTAGATTTCAGTACATTTCATATTTACTATGTGCTCAAAAGTAAGAGAATGATGAGTCGAGGTGGTGTTAAGAAACAACTAGCAATAGGAAGTTTTTCATGCTTTCATAATATAGTTTATTTCTCTTGCAGATGAAAATCTTTGACAAAAACAAGGATGGACGTCTGGATCTGAACGATTTGGCCAGGTATGCAACGCAATGATATGAAAGTTTACATATTACATTTTTAGATTACATTATCTCAACATGAACTGAATGGATTTTTTTTATTGTGGGTTATATGGAGGCTTGTCCAAAGTGTTTTAAATTCTCAGATCAATGTAATTAATCAATGTTTGATAATTAATGCATCAAAGAATTCTACAAGAAAAAAAAAGACCAAAAGGGGTTGGTAACTGCCCAATAAGAGATGTTTTGTCTGTAATAACTAAATTATTGTGTATTAATATTAAAATCTGCATTTATTTTGAAGGATCTTGGCTTTACAAGAGAATTTTCTGCTACAGTTCCAGATGGATGTAAGTGTGTTTATTTGTCTCTTTTATGACATTTTTAACAACTAATTAGTGTCAGATGGGGAAAAAAAGGTGTAAATCTGTAGGTATATTTATCTCGTTTCTCTCCTGATTTATAACAACGTCTCTTACTGTATTCAAGGCCTGCAGCAAAGAAGAGAGGAAGAGAGACTTTGAGAAGATCTTTGACCATTACGATGTTGTGAGTACAGGAATAAGACAAATGATTACTGACATTTCACAATTTCATCGTACTGAACCTGATTACTGCCCGTGTTGTGCAGAAAAATACGTGAAAGTGAGTTTATTGTGGCTGAGATATTTCCAGGGTCATTTCTTGTGCACAGTTGATCTGTACCTGCCTGTTGACCTTTTGCATCATTGCAATAACAGCAAATCCATTGTTTTGCGATCATGTTTCATACAAATTGGGATTTAATGTAATGTCTGCTCCGTTTTGGAGACAACACAGACATTCGCTTCTTTTCAAAACCTGATTACTCTCTGGTGCACAGAGAAACAACTTGTCATTGAAAAATCCTGCTGGTATTTGGGAGGTCTGCGTTTGGGAATATTAGGAACTTATTCAACAGAGTGAAATTTGATCTGTCTTCATAACATCATGACTTTGGTATGTGCAAATATTAAACGAAAATAGTTACAAAGCTCTTTGAACATATTGTATAGATGGTAGCATGTCTAGATATCATGACATCGTCTCCATTGTGCTTCTCTAAAGTTCATGTCAGTCGTCCCTGTTTACATCAGTGTAGTTGCCCCCTCGCCAGAGGTCTCATCGAAGTGTGAATAGTCTCTAGCTCGAGTGCTAAGATCTAACAATTTGATGGTTTACAGGTGAACTAGGAGTGGCCTCTCCAAGGCACAATTAGATTTTTGGGTAAACCGCTGCAAAAATAGCTCTGCTACAGGTCAAAGGTCACTTTCTCTTGGGGCGGCTGTGGCTCAGGTGGTAGAGCGAGTCGGTCAATGATCGGAAGGTCGGCGGTTTGATTCCGCCCTGTAACCTGTGTCATGATCGTTGTGTCCTTGGGCAACACACTTCCCCCACCTTGCCTGGTGTGAATGCTGATGAATTTTGTTGGAGGGGCAGAATGGCAGCCACGCTTCTATCAGTCTGCCCCAGGGCGGCTGTGGCTACAATCGTAGCTTGCCACCACCAGAATGAATGTATGTGAATGAATAGTTGACAGTATAAAGTGTCTTTGAGTGCCGAGAAAAGCGCCAAGTAAATCTGATCAATTATTAATTAATTATTATTTTTCAAAAATGCTGTACAGCTTTAAATGGGCGGTGCAGATTTGCGACCACGTTGAGGTTTTCCGTTGGTGGAGTTACCATTTGACCTTGGACGATATTTTAAGGTCAAGAAATGTTGATATTGCCTTTATTTTGGGAATAACATGCAATGTATACATGGACAGTACCCATTTCACCTTAGACAACCAGCCAACCATAACTAATGAAAGAAAACACCTATGTTGTAGAAACTTGCAGTAAAGAATGGTTTACTGCAGCTCAGTGCAATCGTGGACGGCAGAGGCAGTTATGGCCCTCTACTCAGGGCAATCTACTTTTTAGATGTTTTGATGGCAATTTTGTGTTCCTAGGGAAAATAAAAAATATTTCTTTTTTGTTATTATTATCATGTTTCCTTCAGTCCACTTTTGCAGATTGAAAAGCAGCAATATTAAATATCATAATGTGTGCTGTAACATCTGTAATGGCTGATTTTACATTCAGATTTTTTGGAATTTAAAAATGAATGGAATTATATTGGAGAACAACTTTAAAAGCTCACCTCTCTGACATAAGCACATCTACAGACTCAGTTCAAAACTTACTCCCAAGGCTTCTCTATCTCAGCTTTTTGGAGATTTTATCAGAGTCACATGGGTCAGTGTTTTTTTTTTGTTTTTTTTTGAGACCACAGGAACATTTACGTCCTTTTCAAGACTGCAGTAATTTGTCCTCGTAAGCAGTGAATCAGCAATAAAATGTAGCTACAAGGGTCTTCTTTCTCACACTTTTATGTTTGTGATTTAAGCCTGAACTGATAGAAAACTCTCTGTCTTGCTGACTGCAATAGAAACTGCAGGCAGACTTTCTCCTTTAGCCTCTCAATTCTTCAACTTGCTATATCTTCCCTAATGTTTAAAGCGTGGATGGAGGACGCAGGAGGTTGTGGGTTCAAATCCAGGCGTGGACAAAAGTAGAGTTTGAACACAACTTTTAGAAAATGGTGTTTGTGCTAAATGAGGGGGAAATGCAGGATTGTAGTTCCTACTGACGTTTGCAGTCATGATGTAAGTGTCTGCATCACTGTAGACAGATACTACAACAGTATTCCATGGAGTTGGAGCCAAAGACAATAAAATATACAGAAATCAAAGCAGAATGCAGGACGTGTCACTATTAGAAAGGGTATCCATAGAGTAGGAAATACAAAAAAATACTCAGATTTGGCTTGGGACAAAGAACAAAGAGGATCAATAGACTGTTTCAGTTTTCTAATTGTCTTATCACCAGGACAGGAGAGTTATTCAATATATTGTACCACTGAATGGAGCTTTTGAGCCCAAGCAATAATCACCTCCACTTATACTCTTTGCCGATTGATAATATTCTCAAATTTGCATACTGTGTGCTGTGAACAAGAGGTCTGAGTACAGCGGCAGTGAATCCAATTAGGTCCTGTTATCTCTGTAATGAAATATAACGTAATAAGCAGCCGTCATGTAGTCGAGTCACACTTCAGGGTGACGAATTAGCTGTTATTCTGATTAATCATGCGGCTCTGGAGGTGTCAGGACCCACTGATAAGCTTCTCCTATTCTGTACAATCAGTTTTATGATCTTCTCAATAAGAAATATGAACAGATGAAAACCTTTTCTTCTGCCCCCCACTCAACTTTAATGTTCTGATGTGAACTAAGACAAGCACCAGTGTAGATATTAGTGTAACTTTGACACATCTATGTTTATAGTACAGTGTTACAGTTTGTGTTGTGATTAAAGTCTCAGCAAAATTTCAACATTTGATGGATTTGTTTTCACGTCGCTCTCTGGCTGCATTTACCAGAAGTTCAACTAGGAGCACAGCAAGAAGCTTTTTGTCACGCTTCGTAAATTCTGTGTTAATAACACATATTCACACATCATCTGTTGATCTTACAGAATGTGAAATATGTGAAAAGTTACTGATTTTAACATTTAAAGTGAATTTGCCCCGTGGCTAAACACCTCATTTTGCCTTTTTTTTTTTTTTTGTATGTGTATCTGCAGTAAGATTTTCAGACCTAAGTATTATATTTTTCTAGAAATGTGACACAGTTTGTAACCTGTAGGTTGATATTTCAAACAAACGTGAGCTACTTCTGTAAATTATTGTCAGTCAGGTTTTAGCAGCTAGAAAAATGTGAATATATTTTAACATTTAACACCAACAGAAAAGTGTCCAATATGTGGGATTGTTGGATCGAACTGCAACTGTAGATGGATGCTGAAATTTAAACTTCACAAAGAAAATTTAGAAAGGTGTTTGTTTCCCACTATTCTGAGGAGTTTTTAGTACTTTTTTTTTCCTGTCTGAAGTTTTACTGCTTTCTGATTGTGTATTTGAACTGTGTGAGAATAGTGAGTATCAACATAACAGAAAGTGCCCATTATCACAAAATGATGATAATAAGAAAACCAGATAAATAACTGATTGGATAATAAGAGTGGGATGTAAATCACAGGAACTAATCAGTGCTCTTTCCTCATGTCTCTTTTCTTTGTCTGTCTTTTTTTTTTTCTTGTTCAGAGTAAAACAGGAGCTCTGGAGGGTCCTGAGGTGGATGGTTTTGTCAAAGACATGATGGGGCTGGTCAGGGTAAGAGTCTCTGTGTGTTGTCCTTCTTATGTTTTGTAACGAACATGCGTTACGACAGGCAGACAAGTGTTTTTTCTTACTTACTTAATTTACTTCCAAAATAGTGTTATGAAGTGGGACAATACGACTACTACATCTGTTACGCTGCTACTTTCTCAACAAAAAGGAAAAAGGGGTCAGCGGCAAACCACAGTAATTTCAGTGGTTTAGTCGGGTGGCTGTGCACCGCCACATAGTAGCATTTAGTAATGCATGAGCTATTCAAAGAACATCAGTCTACTAAAGCATGCAAGGTGTTTCAGGAACATCTGTAAATTGTAGCATCAGAAAAACAACCTGAACTACAAGTCAGTAGAGTCAGAAGTGATAGGGAAAAAAAAAAGCCAAAGAAAACCTTCCCTTTACTAATCTGTTAATGTACAAAACGGTTATCTGCACCTTCCTGTTCGCAATCACTGAGATGGATCTGTTAAGAACTTACTAATGTGTGTGGGAACTGAACAAAAAGGGAAATATTTTGGGTGCACTTAAAAGTATGTTCTGGTGCATCTAAATGAAAAGTTAGACGCACCAGTGCAACCGATATAAAAACTTAGTTTGGTTCTCGTAGAAAAAAACAAAACACGTCAAAAAATGCAATGTTGAGGATTCTGCATTGAAATTAAACTACTGTACTGGCATGTCCAAAAAAAAAAAAAAGAACAATTGATCAATTTTCATATGAAGCATTTTGGAATTATTTTTCTTAAATCAAGTCCAGAGAAAATAATTTAAAAAATGCAGGAATGCACTGATGCAGCTACTTTGCTCAGTGTTACAATCTGATTGGCTGCATGTCATGAATAAAAATGTATTAACACTGAAAGAAAAATGTCAAAAATGTTCTTTTTTTAATAATATGTCAAACAAGCAAATGCATATTGGTCCCAAATATCAGTTATCAGCTTCATTGATCAGCATTAATCAGTATCAGCCCTTAAAATATGAAACACATTGGTGGAGCAGCAACATTTACATTCAGTCATCTCAAATTTATGAATGATGAATTCTGGGCACGACATGACAACATGTCTGTGTTAAGGAACCAAAATCCAACAGAATTCATTTAATAGAAAATGGTTTCTATGGCCTCAGTGTTAATATTTCTGAGCTAGTGGGTGTAATACTCTGACCTATGTGGGCAAACTGTGGCCTTCTGTTGATATCCAAACTGCTGGGTGACGCTCATTAATTATCCCACAAACTGATGCTTAACAGATGGAAACAACTTCCTTAAAGGCTTAAAAGCATCTGTGCTGTTTGCATGCTGCTCACACCACATTTCCAGCTAAATGACTTTTCCATCTGCAGCCCAACATCACAGGTCCTGATCTGGACCAACTGAGAGTTGTTCTGCTGCGCCACTGCGACGTCAACAAGGATGGAAAGATCCAGAAGAACGAGTTGGCTCTGTGTCTGGGAGTTAAACCCAAACCTTAGATCTGTATTAATGTATCCTGAGACACTGGCTCGGTGTGTATTGTACAGTGAAATATGCTAGAATGTTCTGATCCAGATCAGTCTGATTACGGGGTTATTTAAGGTCAATATTCATAAAGTTTGTCTGGACCCTGAATAAGTTAAAACCGCAGTTTGACACTATGTGATTAAAGATATTAAATGACCTGATATCATAGTTTCTCGTGCATGTTTAAGGACCAAAAGAAAACAATGAGATGTGTGTGTGTTTGTTTGTTTGTTTAAATGGCTGTGCTGTGGGAAGTCTGGTATATTAGTCAGTGTGCTGTTCAGAAAAACTAGAAGTAGCTTTTAAAAACAGCATGTTTTTATTGGCGGTAAAAGATTTTCTCAGAGCATACTGACTGCTACAAACATTTGGCCACTTGTATGTTTCTCTGCCTGAATAAAGGGTTAAGTGCAGGATGTTGCTTAATGTATTTTTAATATAATGATCAGTTGAGAAAACAATGATGGCGTATCGATGTTTTTTTTTTTTTTTCTAGTGTCATTCAGAAATCTTAAAATGTAAAGTCTTGAGAAGCTAGTGGAGAAGAAGTGGATGTTTACTGCATCGTCCATTACGCTGTAGACATTTAGAATATCTATAAATTTAAAATAATTCAAAAGGTAAAAGTTGGCAGCCTTTTGAATTTATCTGTTTCATCATATCATGTAGAACACTGACCAACATGTTTGGCAAAATGCAAATATAGAATTATAATCTTTAAGTTTTTTTGTTTTGTTTTAGCTTTTTTCTGGAGTCAGAGGCAGCAGGAGGACCAGCAGAATAACACAACAGGATTTTATCAGCTCAAAGGTACCACAGACTTAATTTAAGTGAACGATTTCTTGAAAAGCACTGCCCCTATTTATTTTTAATTTAAGGAAAAACAAACACAAAATATGTCAGTGGGGTGTTCGGACGCCACCCGAACAGCTACAGTTTATCTTAGCATCGATTCTCAAAGTCTCTAGAACTCTACAAGGCGCAATGAAATACAACCCAACTGATTTTCAGAACAGAAAATTATGGTCATTGTTTATTAGCTTTCTAGCACAGTTCACATGAAGACACCATTTGACTCTGTGCCAGTGTCTTCTCAGCAGCGATACATTCTCTGCTACATGTGCTGCATACTGTGAACAATGGAGTCGGAGCCTGTTTTTCATAATGGTTGTATAGATACAGTTGAAACCAGAAGTTTACGTACGTTGTATAAGAAGACACATCACCCTTTTTTTTCACTGTCTGACATTAAATGTCACAAAATTTTATTCTGTTTTAGGTCAGCTAGGATTACCAAAATTATCATTATTATTAACTTTCTTCTAAGTCAGAAGTTGACATACATTTCCTTAGTATTTGGTATCATTGCCTTTAAACTGTATGACTTGGGTCAAACACTTTGGGTTTCTTTCCATAAACTTCTCACAATAGTTTGAGCGAATTCTGGCCCATTCCTCCTGACAGAACTGGTTTGTTGGTCTACTTGCTCCACACACCTTTTCAGCTCTGCCCACAAATTTTCCACAGGATTGAGATCAGGGCTTTGTGATGGCCACTCCAAAACATTGACTTTGTTGTACTGAAGCCACTTTGTAACTAATCTGGCAGGATGCTTCTGGTCATTGACCATTTGGAAGACCCATTTGAGCCCAAGCTTTAACTTCCTGGCTAATGTCTTGAGATGTTGCTTCAATATTTCCACATAGTGTTCTTTCCTCATGATGCCATCTTTTTTGTGAAGTTCACTAGTCCCTCCTGCAGCAAAACACCCCCACAACATGATGCTGCCACCCCCGTACTTCACAGTTGGGATGATGTTCTGTAACAATGGTCATTATGGCCAAACAGTTCATTTTAGTCTCATCAGACCACAGGACGTGTCTCCAAAAATGACAGACTTTGTCCCTGTGTGTATTTGAAAACTGTAATCTGGCTTTTTTATGTTGCTTTTGGAGTAAAGTCTTCTTCCTCTCTGAGTATCCTTCCAGCCCATGTCAGTACAGGACTGGTTTCACTGTGGATAATGACGCTCTCTGATCAGCTTCAGCAGCATCTTCACAAGGTCTTTAGCTCTTTTTCTGGGGTTGATACGCACATTTTGCACCAAAACACTTCATGTCTGGGACACAGAACCCGTCTCCTTCCTGAGCAGTATGATGGCTGGACATTCACATGGTGTTTGCGTATAATTGTTTGAACAGGTGAACATGGAACCTTCAGGTATCTGGAAGTTGTACCCAAAGATGAACCAGACTTGTGGAGGTCCAGAACTCTCTTCCTGATATCTTGCCAGATTTCTGTAGATTTTCCATGTTGTCACAAAAGGAAGCAGTGTGTTTGAGGTGTACCTTAAAATACATCCACAGGTGTGTCTCCAATTAACTCAAATGTTGTCAGTGAACCTATTAAAGCTTCCAAAGTCATGACATCATCATCTGAGCTTTCCCAAATAGTTTGAAGGCTGAGTAATCTTGGTGTATGTAAACTTCTGACTTTGAAGAAAGTAATAAATAATTCTCAAAAAAAAAAAAAAAAAAAACTCATCGTTTTGGCATTTAGCAAACAGAAATAATTTTAGTAATCCTAACTGACCTTAAACATGATTTATTGTCAGACAGTGGGAAATAAAGGTTTATATTTTCTGTACTTCTTGCAGTAAACTGTAAAAATGATGCCACAGTAAGTAAAAATGTAACTGGAGGGGAAAAAAATACGTCCCGAAAGTGTTTGGTGTTCTGAGGGCTAATTTGTCAGCCGTCTATACATAATATTATTTAGAGAAACAGAAGTCAGCTCAAGCTTAAACACGAAATTGAACCGTTCCACCAGACACACTGTAACACAGGTCACAGTGACCAACCAGCTGACTGGGTGAGTCTTTGTTTGTTAAGTCTAAGCCTCAGAAGGAAAACTGAACGCTGTTAAGTACATGGAAAACCAAAACCCTCCGGCCTAATGGACCTAAAAGCTTTACTGAGGCTCAGATCGCTGAGTTTCCTGTGAGTCTCCACAGAGCTGTGATACGAGCGCTGATACCATCTCGGTGCATGTCAGTGTGTGTGTGTTCATTAAACAGACTGTAGGCTCCACTACAAATACAAAAGCAGACTTTACATAGTTTGTTCATGTACAGTTAACAGATCCACTTGTGTGAGTGTTTATTGTGCAGCACAGCACAAAGAGCTTCTAGAAGTGTTTGTGTGAGCAGAGCATCTGCCACACAGCTGCTGCAGAACAAACAGTTTCCCTTTTCACCTGGAACGCATTTCAAGCAAACGCAAACATGTACTGGCTTAAAATGTTAAGTAACTTTGATAATATTCTTTTTTTAAACTTATTTTTCTGGCCTTTGTGCAGTGAGAGAGAGAGAGAG